AATCTTGGAACAGTAATACAGAAAACAGCTCGAGATCAATATATAGAGACAGTTTAAAAGCTTAATGGAACCCCTTTGACGGATAGAAAATAACTGGAATACAATATGTTTATAAGACTGAGAACGAGGTTATTACGTTTGAAAGTTAACGAAGGAAGATGGCTGGGATTTGATTTAAGTTTACATTTAAGTCCTCTTTGTAAACTCCTGTACTAGGCACATGTATACTTTCTATGTATAAGGTAAACTGGGTGAGTGGTCAGTGATCTAAGCTGCGGATGGCAATGATCAGAGGATTAAGTCACTGGATAAAACAGATCTCCAGTGTTTGTATATGTTTTGACAATGACCTCAGCAATATTCTGGCAGCATGTAAATGATTGAGTCTGGGCCACCATGAGCATCGATCTACGTACTATAGTGCCAAGGTTGCTATATTAGGTACAGCTGAGATAATATAAATTGGGCATGGCGCCACTTTGGCGTTACAATAGAATCATTGGAGGTGTTTCATTACGCTGTACAGGATGACATTTGGTTAAAATAGATCTCTAGACGTAGTGTTTGCATATTTCTGAAGGACGACCTCAGCAGTATTACAGCAGAATTTAAATAATTGAGTCTGGGCCACCAAAAAGCATCGATCTATGTACCTGTGGTACGATGACGTACAGAGGCCAAGGATGCGAGCCTTTCACCCAATCCCGTTAGTTGCCCTGACGACTAGTAAGACCAGGTTGTTTTTTTTCATAAACATATTATATTCATGAAATATAAATGACATGAACATGACAGAATGCAATCAATAATTAACTAAAGGCAAGTATCTACAAAACTACATTCAATGATTCATAGTAATTGCATACAGTAGAGTTTAGAATAATTTGAATCTATTTGAAAGTAGTATGTATTTATGAACAGAGTCAAGAATAAGCTGATTAATTCTGTTGCTAGAAGTGTCATTGGATCCAGAACAATATCTTCTCGATTACCAAAAAACAGCTCTATTTTCACAGCAGAAGCAAACGCCATATTAACAGCTCTTAAAGATATTTAAAAAACCCATCCTAAATATGAATAATATATCATATTTTCAGACTCTCTGTCTTGCCTTCAGGCTATTCAAAATCATTCTTGCAAACATCCACTTTTAATTGAAATTATTGACTTATATAATGATCTTGCTACTGGCCAATACGACATCGTCTTTTGTTGGTTACCAAGCCCTGTTGGCATTTCTGGGAACACAATGGCTGATCTTGCTGCTAAGGCAGCACTCAACAAATATGTGACACCACTTCTTATTCCATACTCTGATTACAAAGCTAGCATTAGAACTTACATCCGTGATCTGATGCAAAGAAGTGGGACACCATTAGTATAGAAATATTTACCTGATCTTATTAAGTTATAACAGGGCTAGAAACGATCTAATGGATAGAATCTTCCCATGGATACCCACATGCTCATTTCGGAATATTTGAAATATGTCCAAGAAATCGATGAGCGTTCATGGCGAGCATGGAATATTTGATAAATTCTGGATCCAAAGTTTTTATCAAAGAGAATTTGGCCTGTAATCGTGTTTTGAAGGAATTTACTGACTGTTACTTAATTATTTCGGTTGGTAAAACGTTCCATAAACGTATGGTATCTGGCAAAAAGGAGCGTGCGTTCGACTCTGTATGACAACAAATTGTGCGAATGCTATCTGTATTTCTCGTTTAGTTAGAACTTAAAACTGAAACATGTTCTGGAATTAAATCAGATAAGCAGTTTGGTGTAAGGTTATTAATTTTGTAGAATAAAGTAAGAACTTCATTTAGTTGAGTTCTTTTCATTTCTATGGGTGATTTACTTTGCGGGAGAATAAAATCGTTTCAGGTTTTGTTGGATTAAAATTTTCTTGCCACATATTGGCCCAATCAGAAATACGATTCAAATAATTATCCAAACTTCTTGCTGCTTTGTCTGTATCTTCTACAACTACCTACACTGATGTGTCATCAGCAAATAGTCGAATATTGCTGTTGATGCCATCTACAATATCATTGATTTTTCTAAGAACAGTAGCGGCCCAAAAGACAGATCTGATGATCGGCAATCAATAACTACTCTTTGTACCCTATTTCTAAGATAACTGTAAAACCATTCAATTAAACTACCAGGTATTCCATAAGCCTCTAATTTAAACAATATACCCTTATGCCATACTTTTTCAAAAGCTTTACTAATGCCAGAGAAAGCGGCTTTTACTTCTTTCCATTATCTAAAACAGTTGCTATAAAGTCATATAGATATGCAAGTTGATAAGCAGTACAATCGCCTGGCAAACAATCCTAATTGCAAATTTATTAAGACATTATTGTCCCTAAAAAGGAAAAACATATTTGAATGCGCATTTGTCAAATATCTTCCCAATACAGCTCGTAATACCCGGGGAACTAGCTCTTGTGACATCAGTGGATTTGAAGGGGCGGTGCATCACTTGCGACATTTGAAACAATGTGGTCTATCTGCTGTTTCATTTATATTTTCAATATTTATGCAAACTGAAAATGAAGTATGAAAATTATTGTCAAAAGGTAAAACTGCAATGGAAACCAACACACATTATATTGTCAGTTTCAGACACGGATAAAAGATTTATGTCCTTGTAGTTATGTGTTTTGTGTAGTTATTGTAAGTCCTGGAATGTTAGGAACAACTGACTGACTCTCTCTGCATATTGATCACAGTTGTCACTGTGTTCTCTCTGTGGAATCTGTTCAGAGGTAGCCACTACACATCGGTGAAAAAGTATTGCCCTGTTGAATTCGTAGTAGTTGTTCACCATCCGACACAACATCCGACTGTCTGTTAGCACTCCAACATGATACCAAGGTATGTGAGAGACTGTGTGAAACTGCTCCTACAAGTAATGGTTATGCTGATGTTCTTATTGCCAACACCACACTCGAAGCAGTGTAAACCTACGACGACTGAGAGGGATGGTTCTGTCATTATCAGGAACGTTGGCATCAAGTTGTGCCAGCTGAAATGTGCTGAAAATGGTCAATGTTTGAGCATTCAATACAGTAGTGACACTTTGACCTGTCGTTTATTAAGTGCTGAATCAAGGAAGACCAAGACGAAGGAAGGATATGTCAATCTTGCAAGGAGTCATTCAGATGTAAGTAAAGGCGTAAAAACCCTGTCCATAATTATATAACATTTCTACTCAACAGCATTCTGGACTAAACTTTAGTAAGTGTTTATGAATGTCAAATATTGATATCACGTGTTTTTGGACACAGGTGCCAAGGAAATATATTCTAAGCCTAAAAGTTCAGGAGAACAAAAAGGTCAAAACAGGGATATGTATCAGACATGAGCATGCACTAGTTGCCTGGATATGTGCGCTATATAAATATCCTATAATAATAATAATAACATAGGTTTAATTAGGTCTTCAGACGACAGTCTGGAAGACCTACTGTTCTTATCCGAATATTCTTATTATTTGTTCGTTTTTTGTACCAGCTCTCCTGAAATAACCCCTGGGTCGATTTCGATGAAACTTTCAGGGATGATAGCCTGTAGTCTAAAATTGATTCAGTGTTGAAAAAATCCCGACTTACTGCTTCCGGTAAGGGCAGATAACCCAAAACGTCAAAATCTTTGAACCCTAATAGTTCTCCAAAACTAAAAAGAGTTAAATTCACTAAATTTTCACTCGATGTAGACATCATCATCTTTTTGTATCCTTTATTTTAAGTTTTCCGCAAATTTGCAAAAACTGATTTTTTTGGCCGACTTTCACGTTTTGACGGTGCCTGTGTTTAAAAATCTTCTTCTCCAGAACGGCAAATAGTACAATCGTGTTCGATACGCCGTTGGAAAGCCCACACCCCGGACGACACATTTTGCACAAGGAATATCGATATCTGGAATGGATTCGGAGTTATCGCCCTTGGAAGTTGGTGGATGCTTCTAAGACGCATTTTCATAGGGTTCATAAAAATGTCACAGCTCTGCGAAAACACAAATGGATTTCGTCTTTCAAACTGTAGATAATTGAATGGGGAACATTTTTGCTTCACATTATTGTCATGTAAAAGTCAATAATTACGCCACTATTACGACACAAACACGAACATTCGGATTTTTCGCATTTTGTTAGTGGTGAGATAGCTGGTGAGATAGGTGAAGGAACCGCCAGTAAAATCTAGCAACAATCACTACTTCCTGGCTTCCAATGCCGTAGCTCCGTCCTTCTTGGGTCTACAGTCAAAAGAGTTAGTGTTCTGGAATTGGCAGGATCTAATCTCTCCAGCAGTTTGTTTGCCAGCCTGAGTTGAGTTGAGTTACTGTGACAGGATCATACTTGACATTTTCATAACAACAAAATCGGCAACATTTGCCAGTAATCTCTCTTTTAGTATATGTCTGTATATGTTGCTCATTTCCTTTGCTGTGCTTGGCTGTGCGTTCCTGCAGTTTGTGTCAGCTGCATTGAATCAGCGCCAAATTGAATCGGCGTCAACATTTCACATTAACTAACATTTATTTTCTTGGTAATTCTATCTCAGAAACACTGTAATTGGCGATCCAGTTGGTGTCCAAAGAAACAGGATAAGTAAAGGTAGCCACGGGGAGTGTATGGGGAAGTCTAAAGACCGTCAGTATTGCCCAGCAGGCAATCCTAGTTACTGTTGCTTTTGTATTAGTATCCTTCACGTGCCGACCACAAGCTTAAGCAAGTAGAACATCTTAGTGACACCCTCTTGTTTTGGCGAAACGTTTTTGAGAAAGAGAAATCGCTAAGTCCGTTGTGCATATATCTTTAATAAACAATTTCAGCTACGTGAAAGATTATTAAAAAAGATATTGTGTTTGAACAAAACAAAAACAGGAAAAAATATTGTTGATACATGAAGTGCAAATAAACATATTACATAAAAACATAACATAAGGTTTCTTTCTCCTGTTTGAAGGTACCTGATTCATGTTCGTCAAAGATGTGCAGTTTCGGGCAACGATGTTTGAAGACTCGATCTGGAAAGACTGTCTGTGTGCAAGGTAATGGTCGGTATTTTTCGTATTTCTCTTTTTCACTCCCTGGAATGGGTTGGACAGCAATGGATCTTTTATGTGCGTACGTCACTGTAGTGACAATCTTTGTCATAACCATATCATCTTATAGCATATGTTAGACCAACGCCCACAATAAGGTGCTGGATTGTAACCTTACAGCCCCTAAATATAGGGAGCTCCAAGTTCACCTTACATCTGAGATCAACGTTTTCTGTTGTCAGTATGACCACACCCAATCTACAATCAACGCCAGTTCTTTAGTAGCTCATCACTTTTGTACTGGTGTGCCAAGCTTCGTAAGATTGGTCCAAGGAAATATATATTGTCATGTCTAGTGACGAAAGGACTTTCGTTATATTCACAGTACGTGTTTGAAATAAATAATGCAATCATAACCATGCTGGTTTACTTGAGAGAAAAAGTATAAAATTCCCTCATACATGGCCAGGTCGTTTAGAATTGAAGCAAGTGTGATCTGATGTGCACTGGGAAAATATATGGGTTACAACATTCATTCCAGATTTTGTAATAAAATCCCAGCAGGCTGTCATCTGGTTGTTGGAAGGCCCTGCCTCGTTTTGGCTGTTTAATTAACTTTTTCACTAACTCGATACCTTTTAATGTTGTAAGCTTAGAAGTCCCCATGTAAAATGTCTGTAGAATTTAATTCTCAACTGAAAAGCTTTTTATCAAGTGGTGGGATCGAACCACTAAATACCTGTATCTCATCACACATCCTGCACTCTACCTCTGTGCTACCGAGACTGACGAAACTGAACAGCTCTTTTTACCCTGTTATACTAGATGCGCTTGGATGCACCACCTTAATGGACCGCATGTGCTCGCCAGCCAAGGATATACGGACCGCACATGCACATGCAACCTATCATGCTCATTTCTAAGGAGGGGTATGGATTTCAGACGGGATTGAACAGAGTCCGAGCGACAGACAATTTTGAACCAAAATCATCAACGAAGGCATCATCAGTGATTGGTTTCGGTAAATCAAATGGATAACATCCTCACCCTCGGGCGTTCTAGTAAAGAGAGGCCTTTGCATACGGGAAGACTTTCGAGCGCTAACGCGTCATTTTTTCCCTAGGTCAAGGGCCTCTCTTTACTAGAACGCCCGAGGGTGAGGGTGTTATCCTTAACATAACACCAGAATCATTCATTATCCTGATAGTTGTTTCAAACATCTAAAATCAGGAAACGACAATTTTCATTAAACAGCAACAGTGCCGTTCAGAATCGATTGTAATACGAGCGGTATTCATTAGATTAATTACTAACTAGTAACTACTGTAATCAATGCTAACAATCTGACGTCATTGTGTCATTATCATTTAACATCCACAGGTCAGAAGCAGAACTACCCCGAGGGATCTCCTCAGCATGAAGTTGACAAGGAAGAAACATTTGTGAACAGCCCACTTCATGATGCCTGCAGGAAGGGGAACCTGACTCGGGTAAGAAGCATCCTGTCCCAGGGTCTGGTAGACATCAACATTAGAGACGGGAATCACGGAAAAACACCACTCATGGTGGCAGCACAGGAGGGACATTGCAGAATATTATCTTTTCTTATCAGAAAAGGTGCTAACATGTCACAAGTGGATAATGATGGGAAGAACTTCCTTCACTGGGCCTGCAATTGTGGACATGTGGGTATGGTGGAGTGTTTACTCCCACAATATGATATAGACATTAACCATAAGCACGTGTCCCCTCTTCTGCAGGCAGCACACCGGGGATCCAAAGATGTTTTTGAGTTTCTCGTGTGTATGGGAGCTAATGTGTCACAAGTTGGTAAAAAAGGGGACAAAGTCCTGCACTGGGGCTGCAAAGGGGGACATCTGGGTATGGTAAAGTATCTACTTTCACTATCCAGTGTTGATATTAACAGTAGCGGAAAGATGGGTGTGACCCCCTTGATGTGGGCTGCATTGTACGGGTACAGAGACATTTTTCAATTCCTCGTGAGAATGGGAGCTAGTTTGTCACAACTTGATGTTAAGAGAAACAACATCCTTCACCGTGCCTCACTCGCTGGCAGATTGGAGATGGTGAAGTACATCATCAGACAGAACACGGTCAACATTAACGCCAGGAACAAGGATGGGGAAACAGCAGCCATGCTAGCAAAGAGCAGCAATAAGAGTCGCGTGTATAACTTTCTTGTTTTGAACGGGGCTGTCCAGTGAAATAAGTGCAGCTTGAGGGTTTATGTCATGCGTCATGATATGTTAGAGGTTACTTATAGTAGAATGTGACAGTCTACATTAGTGACGCACAGGTTACAGACATTGCTGGTATCGTGTTATTATCCCTACCGACATATGATGCGGTTGGATATAGTCGACACCTCGCCGTCCGTCCGCCCATAATCATTTCAATTCCGGAGCATCACTTGATATCAAAACATGGCAGGCGTTTCAAACAGATAATGAAGTGAAGCGTTTTGCTATTCCTGGAATTTACATTTGTTCCCTTTTTCCATGAAAGCAACTTAGTCTTAAATGGAAAGGAGGTTGATGTCGTTTCCTGAACAGAGCTAAAAGTATTCAAAACTATTCGGGACATGTATTTATAGGGGCCGAGGTGCTGCCTTATGCTAGTAAGGATTTGTTTGATGTTTCCATGGCATCAAGTTTGACTTTCACTCTGTTCATAGTCGTGTGTTGTCGGGACCATATCTCTAAAAATAATCGGTCTTCTGTCATGGAGCTGTGCACAAAGAACAGGTTTTAAACTAGTGACACTGACTACTTAGGCATTCGCAGAATTCACACCTTTTTCCGTTTCCATGGCAGCCATGATTGTGACTCGCAACATAAGTCAGCTTCCAGTTGAAATTGAGCAGCAAAGAACATGCACTGTTTGGCTATAAAAATCCAGATTACTTTCGGAAATCGCCATTCGTTTTGACGGAGTTTCAAGGTCAAATCACTACGCCACGTCTTGTCGCTGCGACTTGGAACATTGAAAGAATGCACACTGGAGATTACCAATCTTCTGTTGCCAGACGTCTGAATGTTAGTCGGAGCACGATATCACGGCTTGCAGCTCGTTATAACCAAACAGGTATGACAAATGACCCTCCCCGTACAGGCCGACCTCGAGTCACCACTGCAGCCCAAGATCGGTACATCCGGGTACTATATTTGGGTGATCGTACTGCCACGGGTGAGAGCACCGAAGCCAGGGTGCCTGGACTTCAGAGGATATCCGGTCAAACTGTTCGGAACAGGTTAAGACAGACTGCACTGAGAACCAGGAGACCCGACGTCGGGACCGTGCTACGTCGCCACCATCGCGCTCAACGTCGCCGATATCTAAAATTATCCACTTGGTTGTATATACATTTCCTTCTTCTAAACTGATGTAAAAAATCATTTTCGCAACAGTTTTCTGGCCTCTGCGTTTATTTTTGTTGGATAGTATATGTGTTATAATGCACGATGAAGGTTATTTCATCATATCGTTTTGGGGTGTTGTGCGTGTGGCCAGTAAGTATATGATACGGTTAAATGTGTGTGTTGACAGGTGTGTGTGTAGACACAGGTGTGTGACAGGTGTGATGTGTGTGACAGGTGTGATGTGTGTGTTGACACGTGTGATGTGCGTGTTGACAGATGTGAAGGGGCGTTGACAGGTGTGATGTATATGTTCACAGGCATGATGTGTGTTAGCACGTGTGATGTGTGTGTTGACATGTGCGATGTGTGTGTTTACAGGTGTGATGTGTCTGTTGAAAGGTGTGGTGTATGTGTTGACAGATGTGATGGGACGTTGACAGGTGTGATGCATTTGTTGACAGGCATGATGTGTGCGTTGACAGGTGTAACGTGTGTTGACAGGTGTCATGTGTGTTGACAGGTTAGATGTGTGGGTCGACAGGTGCCATGTGTGTTAACAGGTGTCGTGTGTGTTGACAGGTGTGATGTATGTGTTGACAGATGTGATGGGGCGTTGACAGGTGTGATGCATTTGTTGACAGGCATGATGTGTGCGTTGACAGGAGTAACGTGTGTTTACAGATGTGATGGGGCGTTGACAGGCATGATGTGTGCGTTGACAGGTGTAACGTGTGTTGACAGGTGTCATGTGTGTTGACAGGTTAGATGTGTGGGTTGACAGGTGCCATGTGTGTTGACAGGTTAGATGTGTGTTGACAGCTGTTATGTGTGTTGATTGATGTGATGTGTGTGCTGACAGGTGTGGTGTGTGTGTTGACAGGTGTTATTTGTGCGTTGACAGGTGTGATCTTTGATGACAGATCTGATATGTTTGTTGATGTGTGTTGACATGTGTGATGTGTGTTGACAGGTGTGATGTGTGTTGACAGGTGTAACGTGTGTGTTGACAGGTGTAACGTGTGTGTTGACAGGTGTGATGTGTGGGTTGACAGGTGCCATGTGTGTTGACAGGTGTCATGTGTGTTGACAGCTGTGATGTGTGTTGACATATGTGATGTGTGTGTTTACAGGTGTGATGTATATGTTGACAGGTGTCATGTGTGTTGACAGGTGGGATGTGTGTTTTGACACATGTGACGTGTGTGTTTACAGGTGTGATGTATATATTGACAGGTGTCATGTGTGTTGACAGGTGGGATGTGTGTTTTGACATATGTGGTGTGTGTGTGTACAAGTGTGATGTGTTTTGACAGGTATGACGTGTGTGTTGACAGGTGTAACGTGTGTGTTGACAGGTGTGACGTGTGTGTTGACAGGTGTGACGTGTGTGTTGACAGGTGTGACATGTGTTCACAGGCGTGATATATGTGTTGACAGATGTGTCGTGTGTTGACAGGCGTAATGTGTTTGACAAACGTAACGTGTGTTGACATGTGATGTGTGTGTTGACATGTGTGATATGTGTGTTGACAAATGTGATGTGTGTTGACAGGTGTGATGTGTGTTGACTGATGTCACGTGTGTTGACAGGTGTCATGTGTGTTGACACGTGTGATGTGTGTTCACACATGTGATGTGTGTGTTGCTACGTTTCATGTGTGTTGACAGATGTGACGTGTGTTAACATGTGTCACGTGTTTTTACAGATGTCATGTGTGTTGACAGGTGTCATGTGTATTGACAGATGTGATGTGTGTGTTGACAGGTGTGATATGTGTGTTGACAGGCGTGATGTGTTTGTTGACACGTGTGATTTGTCCGGCTGTTTGCCTTGTCAAATACTGTATAGTGGGTGAAGTTTGAGGATGATGTGCATGTTCCTTGTGTAGTGTGTGTGTCGTGAATGATCCCAGTGTTGTGTGTGTGGCGTGCATGTTCCCTGTGTTGTGTGTGTGGTGTGCATGATCTCTGTGTTGTGTGTGTGGCGTGCATGTTCCCTGTGTTGTGTGTGTGGCTTGCATGTTCCCTGTGTTGTGTGTGTGGTGTGCATGATCCCAGTGTTGTGTGTGTGGCGTACATGATACCTGTGTTGTGTGTGTGTAGTGTGCATGATCTCTGTGTTGCGTGTGTGGTGTGCATGATCTCTGTGTTATGTGTTTGGTTTGCATGTTCCCTGTGTTGTGTGTGTGGCTTGCATGATCTCTGTGTTGTGTATGTGGCTTGCATGTTCCCTGTGTTGTGTGTGTGGCTTGCATGTTTCCTGTGTTGTGTGTGTGGTGTGCATGATCCCAGTGTTGTGTGTGTGGCGTACATGATACCTGTGTTGTGTGTGTGTAGTGTGCATGATCTCTGTGTTGCGTGTGTGGTGTGCATGATCTCAGTGTTGTGTGTTTGGCTTGCATGATCTCTGTGTTGTGTGTTTGGCTTGCATGTTCCCTGTGTTGTGTGTGTGGCTTGCATGTTCCCTGTTTTGTGTGTGTGGCTTGCATGATCCCAGTGTTGTGTGTGTGGCGTACATGATACCTGTGTTGTGTGTGTGTAGTGTGCATGATCTCTGTGTTGCGTGTGTGGTGTGCATGATCTCTGTGTTGTGTATGTGGCTGGCATGATCTCTGTGTTGTGTGTGTGGCTGGCATGATCTCTGTGTTGTGTGTGTGGCGTGCATGTTCCCTGTGTTTTGTGTGTGGCGTGCATGATTTCTGTGTTCTGTGTGTGGCTTGCATGTTCCCAGTGTGTGGTGTGCAGTGCTTGGCGTGTTTGGACCAGTATGTGTACGCGATGTGTTGTGTACTATGTATGTTAAATATTTAGTAGGCTTTTGTGTGTCCTGTTTGTTTGATGTGTGTATGGCGACATCTGCTTGGTGTGGACTGGTGTAGTGTAGTGTGGTTCGATGTAGTGTGTGAAGTGTAATATATTTGTGCTCTGTAGTGTATGGTGTTATGTGTATTACTTATGTGTGATCCATAGCCTATAATTTTACTGTATTGTCCCAATTTGAAATCCAATTTTGGAACGAAATGCTAGTTTTATTTCTTGATACTGTGATATTCTAGTTGATTTTACTGTCCTTCGTCGACAGGTTCATTTATAGCTTACATGTATTTATGATGAATTCAAAACGTGTTTTAGTCACGATATTGCTGAAATATTGCCAATGTGGCTGTAAATCTTAACTCAATCACTGTGGTGATCGGAAAGAAAGTCACAGGAAAAAGTCACGGATTAAAAGTCACAATTTATGTTAGGAAAAAAAGTCACAGGAAAAAGGTCACAATAACTGTTTATTATCTGTGTAATATGTTTAATTATGACCATAAAGCACAGGATCAATCACAGTTCCTCGCAGAGGATCAATCAAATTTTTTTGCTAAATCGAATGTTTAATCCAACCCCATACAGGAACTCTGGGATTGATTTGCACTTTTTAACTCGATCCCTGCACAAGTTCTGAAGATGTCACTGCGATCTGATGTCTTTACCTTCTTCTTGGGGGAGTGTCTATAGCGTCTTGAGCAATCATGGTTCTCACTGTAATCTGTTCTTTCTTGAACCATTCTGCAACTCCCCACACAGAAGGGTGGTTCTGGGCAACCAAGTTGTGGAACTTGTTGTCCCAGCCTTCACAAATGTTATTGGTGCGAGGATCACATTTCACTGTAGCGTCATGAACATTCCTGAGCTGGGGTTGTTGGCGCCGTTATCATAAATGAGGAATGGTTGTCTGTCGGTTGTAGATGCAAATTCTTCTGGAATGTCACCAAGGTCACTGAAATTGGACAGAACTGGTGGTGTCGGTCGTTGGTATCTCATTGCTCTCCTTCAGTGTTCTTGAGTGGGAAGCA